ACAACAATACACTTCATCAAAACCAATCGACAAGCATATCATGGCAAAAGAGAATGATCACAACTCCAAAAGTAAAATGAAAAGGTATACTGATCAGGTATACTGATCAGGCGAGGCACACAAAGAAGACTCTGATTAACGTTGGTGATTTGGTTATATATAAACAACAAAAGAAGGACAAGTTTTCAACAAAATTCAAAGTGATCAAAGTCCACGGTGCCACAATTACAGCCCACCGACACTCTCATCAAATTACCAGAAACATATCCTATTTCAAGCGTCTTAACCTTTGTGAAAAAGAGCGACAATACCATCTTGATGATCAACTGTCAGATGAAGAAGAGGATGATATAGTAAGAAACGAACAGGATCAAGAAAACGAAGAGGATGCAAGAAGGTACCCTGCAAGGGATAGACAACGAACAAACTTTTATCATGATCCGGACTCAGCAATACTCAGTCATTAACTTATGAACTGGTAAATAGGGTCCAGGTACTATTAAAAAAATTTTGAGTTATAGTTTTGCATGTTATGAAGTTAGAAAGTATTAAATGCGAAGGTAGGGAGGAGTGTGATGATGACGTCAACGTCACATACCGTATATAGACAACAATGCTTTGCAAGGACAGAACGTAGACCGCATGGCGAACAGAGCATGGCGAGCTTGATATTATTGTATTTGAAAAACAACTTATAGTTAATAAAGCTTGGATATTACAACGCTGAGGACAAGGTTCCTTACACTTAGAAAAAGGTTCCACAAGCTGAAGACAAGATTCCTCACGACGAGGACAATGTTCCTCACGCTGAGGACAAGGTTCCTCACGCTGAGAACAAGGTTCCTCGGGTTAAGGACAAGGTTCCTGACGCTGAGGACAAGGTTCCTCACGCTGGGGACAAGGTTCCTCACGATGAGGACAAGGTTCCTCACGCTGATGTTAGCTTCCTCGCGCGGAGGACAAGGTTTCTCACGCTGAGGACAAGGTTCCTTACGCCGTGGACAAGGTTACACACGCTGAGGACAAGGTTCCTCACGCTGAGGACAAGGTTACTCACGCAGAGAACAAGGTTCCTCACGCTGAGGACAAGGTTATCTACGCTGAGAACAATGCTCTCTACGCTGAGAACAAGGTTCCTCACGCTGAGGACAAGGTTCCTCACGCTGACGACAAGGTTCCT